GCCCACCCACATAGCAGGTCTTACTTCAGTGCACCTCTGGTGCTCGCTGAGTCTGCCCCTTGAGTGAGTTACTGGTTGAATGGTGCTTCAACATAGTCTAAGCTGCCCCCCAAGTGTGTTGCCTCTGGGGGTCTCCCAGAAGGTGCAACCCAAGGTCAGTCACCACTTGTGTCCTGACTGGGACCCGCTGGCTTAAGCTACAAAGCAATCTTGAGATGGCTGCTATTTGTGCTGGGTTTAAGGGTACCCAGGAGAGGCCAAGCTGTGAAGGTTGGCTAGTGCCAGGCCTGGGACACTTAGCAAGAGGTACAGGTCATGCTGATTCCAGATGCTGGAGTTTTAGAGATTTGTTTGTTTGTTTTAGAGATTTGTTTGTTTGTTTGTTTGTTTTAGAGATTTTAGGAAAGTCTGAAGCATTAGCCAAGATAGGCCATTCTTATGGAAAAGCCACTGGAAATCAAGTTTGGGTGGGCCCACGAGTTTGGTGGGGCAGGGTCTCAGGGAATCACCAAGGTAAGGTGATCGATGATAATCAGGTTGATGAAGATTCAGATATTTCTCCCACCTGCCAGCTCTATGCTGGGAGAGCTAATTAAAATAATAATGACCTCTGTCAGTACTTTTGTTTGGGGGAAAGGTGCCCCCATCTTTTAACCTGATGCCAGGCAATTCAGTTCCTCCCCATATATCTCTGGTGCCTTTCCAGCTGCTATCCTAGAGCTGGAGCTCAGAGGGAAGGAGTCAGAGTAAGTATGTGCACAAGCCTTTTGAGAGGATCTGTGTGGGACTCCAACAGATCTCCATTTCACTCAGCCTCAATCCCTGCTGGGTTTTATAGCCAGAAGTTATGGAGATTTCTCTTTTTGGCCCTGGAACTGTGGGCTTAGGGGACTGGTGTGGGGCTGGGACCCCTTGCTCTCAGGGGGAACCTTTGCAGCAGAGATATCCCTCCCAATTTTTATCTGCCACATGTGGGTGTGGGACCAGCCTGTTCCTTGTCTCTTTCCCTCCTTCCAATCTTGATGTGGCTTCATCTTTAAATCCCCTTTGTATGACTTCTATTCATGTAGATTTCAGGTGTTACTGAATGATGTCTGTAGTTTAGTTGTAATTTTGATGTGGTTGTGGGAGGATTTGAGCACTTTATTTACCTCTGCCACCATCCTGACTGGAGGTCCCATTACTCTTGATATACTTATTATGGCAATGATTTTTTTGTGTCATCAACTAAATTGTGAGCAACTCAACGGAGTCTTTTTTCTTCTTCTTTTCATTGTTGTATTTCCAGAGCCTTTCAAAGTATCTATTGTATTTCCCAGTAGGCATTCAATTAAATATTTATAGAATGAATGAATGGAAGAATGCATAAACAACTTATAAATTGATGTGGAGTACTCTTTAGAAGTGTGTGCAGGGCTGAAACTGGTTTGGCTCAGTGGATAGAGAGTCAGCCTGCGGAATGAAAGGTCCTGGGTTCGATTCCAGTCAAGGGCATGTACCTTGGTTGCTGGCACATCCCAATGGGGGGTGTGCAAGAGGCAGCTGATCAATGATTCTCTCTCATCGATGTTTCTAGCTCTCTATTCCTCTCTCTTCCTCTCTGTAAAAAATCAATTAAAAATATATTTTTTTAAAAAAAGAAAAAAGAAAAGAAATGTGTGCAGGAACCTGTATTACTTTATTGCACATAAGCCTAAAAGTTAACCGAAATGAAAACATTTCATCCCTTTATTTTATTCTTTCCTTTATTTATTTATTTTTTTAAAATTATCTTTTTATTGAAAGTATTACAGATGTTCCCTTTGTTTGTGTGTGTGTTGTTGTTTTTTTCCCATTGACCCCCTCCACCCTGTACCTGCTCCTCCCAGGCCTTCACCACTCTATTGTCCGTGTCCATGGGTTATGCATCTATGCATATAAGTTCCCTTGTTAATCACTCCCCTCACAACCCTTTACCCCTGCTTCCCCTCTGAAATTTGTCAATTTGTTCCATGTCATCCTCTTATTTTAAAACTTTTCAACATATCCTTATTTTTCTCTATAATAAAGTATGTTGAACACAGTTCAATAAATATTTGCTGAATTAATGATACCTTTAAAAAATATACAAGTTCTTTATAATCTAAAGCATATTATTTTCTCCACTTTGTGCACTCCTATTTTATCCTGTAATAATGAGTAACAATATATAATTTTCATTCAAGAATTAAATATTAGGAGCTGGGATATTGGTCCACTGTTTCAAATAACCTTATTCCTTTTCATGATAGTCCCTCTTTTTTGGAATTTATTAAACTATTCATCAAATATCATATTTATTGTGGTTATCTACTCTCCTTCCTTTCCCTACAAGGCTGCCCCTGAGCCCTTTTTTGTGCTTGCCTCCATTTTTTTTAGCCCTGGTCATATCAAAGTGGTTATCTCTGTTTGTCATCCATCTATATTCTCACCCCTATTCCATAATACCCATATATGCCCTCAGAGGGCAGAAGTTGAGGTTTTGTTCACCTACATGTCCCCAGGGCTCAGCACAAAGTTTAGAACAGGACCAAACCCTATATATAAGTATTGAAATGAATAATATTTACTCTTTATTGAGTAACATGGATTGTCACCTTGAATTCTAATAATAATAGGTGAGTTATGAATTATCTCCATTTTATAGATGAGAAAACCAGGCTTGAAAACGTTTGGAAAGTTGCTCAAGGTCAAGTGGTAGAGTCTGTTGTCAATGGAATAGGGTAAAGCCATCATTGATTCAAAATGAGTAAGGTTCCTTCCCACCATCTTTTCTTTTTTTAAAAAACAAACAAACAAATAAACAAACATATTTTATTAATTTTTTACAGAGAGGAAGGGAGAAGAGACATTGATCAGCTGCCTCCTGCACACTCCGCACTGAGGATGTGCCCACAACCCAGGTACATGCCCTTGACCAGAATCGAACCTGGGACCCCTCAGTACTATGCTCAATCGACTGAGCCAAACAGGTTAGGTCCCACCATTTTTTCCTGAAATTTCCTTTAAGGCTTTGCAATTTCTCCTTCTTGAGAGCAATCATATACCTTAATATTATGAGTGCTGGAAATAACCTTTTTTTTTTTTTTCCATATTGGAAATTGTTCGACCTCTCTCTGGAAGCAACGTGATTTTAAACTTGTTTAAATCACTCATTCTGGGGACAGAACCTGCCTTGGAGTCCTGGGGAACATGATAGGCCCATTGAGATGGAATTAGTGGCTGAGAAAGTTTTTCTCTGGGCACCACACACAATGAAGACTTTCTCAGGGGAGAACGGCCTCTCACCTTGGGCACACACAGTCCAGGACCTGTGGAAATTGGGTTGCTGACACCCAAGGCAGCTGAGGGGACACTGTACTGCCCACAGATAAGGTGGCTATTAATAACACCTCCTCTGGCGGGCCTGCTCTCTTTGCTCCTTAGTATTTTCAACGAGGGCTACAGTGAATAAACTTTGGTTAAAGTTGGTCGCCAGAAAGGTTTGGCTCAGTGGATAGAGCATCAGCCTGTGGACTGAAAGGTCCCAGGTTTGATTCTGGTCAGGGGCATGTACCTTGGTTGGGGGCACATCGGGGTGTGTATGTGTGTGTCTGTCTGTGTGTGTGTGTGTGTGTATGTGTGTGTGCAGGAGGCAGCTGGTCGATGTCTCAGATTTTCTGTCCCTCTCCCTTCCTCTCTGTTAAAAAAAAAAAAATCAATAAAATATATTTTTTTAAAAATTTGGTGCCAAAACCGGTTTGGCTCAGTGGATAGAGCGTCAGCCTGTGGACTGAAGGGTCCCGGGTTCAATTCTAGTCAAGGGCATGTACCTTGGTTGTGGGCACATCCCCAGTGGTGGGTGTGCAAGAGGCAGCTGATCGATGATTCTCTCTTATCGATGTTTCTCTCTATCCCTCTCTCTATTCCTCTCTGTAAAAAAAAAAAAATTAATAAAATATATTAAAAAAAATTTTTTTGGTTAAAGTTGGTGCCTTCTCAACCAAGATGGTAAAGTAGGAAGTTGGCACGTTTAGCTTATAAAACCCTGCGATGGGTCAAATTCTTTCTTGCCCTTAACCAACATGGTCGTACAGCAAAGAAAGTCCCCTCACTTGAAACTTCCGGCCCTTAACTAAGATGGCGCCTGGAGGTTGGTTGGTTAAACATGAGCTTTGCCCTCTTTCCTGCCCGCGACCAGCATGGCGCCCGCGGCGTCGGTCACGTGACGCGCGGACTACGGCGCGCCGGAGGGGTAGGAGGGCCCTTGAAGGGTGCGCGTTCCCGCGGCGGTGCACCGGGTAGGTTTCAGTCAGAGTCACTATGGCGGCCGGCGCTGGCAAGGTAAGCTGAGGTGGCGGTGGGGCCGGGGCAGCGGGACCTGTCGCGGCGTCCGGCCTTCACATCGCCGCCGCCCGCCCGCGGAGAGGTCGGCGAGTTCGGGGCAGGGGTGCGGGCTGGGCGGGGGGCAGCTTTGAGGCGGGCGAGCGCCGGGGCGGGCGGGCACCGGCGCTTGACGGCCGTTTGTTGTGGTGTTTCCCTCCCAGGTCGGAAAGTTTCCTGCCTCGCCGGGCGCAGCCTGAGCGTGTGTCCCCCGCCCCGAGTGGCGGAGGCTGCGGCGGACCCAGCCCGGGGCCTCCAGGCCTGTCCCCCGGCCGCGGGGCCAGCCTCCCTCCCCCATCGCCTCGTCCGCCGGGAGCCGCGGCTGCTGCCGTCCCTGAGATGAGACCCTCGCGGGGGCGACCCTGAGAAGAGGCGGCCGGTGCGCTGCCCCGGAGCCCGGAGTCCAGGGACCAACTTCCTGCGGGCGGAGACTCCCCCCCGAGCCTCCCCGGGGTCGTGCCTAGCTCGGTCCGCATCCCCGCCCTGGTCGCGGGGACGCCCGCCAGGTGCCCGGGAGTCCTCCACTCGGCCGCCGCCCGCGCCTCCGCCGCGAGTCCCCCCGTTCCTCGTGCCGAGGACCCGGGCCACCAGCCGTCGCGGCTTGTGCGGTCCGGGGACCCCGTGTCATCTCCCGGCGGCCTCCGCGCATCGGGGGCCAATGCGGACCGTCCCGCCGGCGGTCTAGACCCTCTCGGACCCCTCCCGCCCTCTCACGGCCGAAGCCCTCTCCAGGACGGGTGGTGGCCGCCCAGCGGAGCTCGGCCGCACCGCTCTTCGCCCCGAAGGGACCTTGCTGGTCGCAGCGAACCGACCCTTCCTTCATGCTGCAGTGCCGCAACATTTCCGCCACCGAGGGGGGAGAGCGGCCGCGATCCCAAACCAAACGCAAGAATTGGCGTGTGACTCATCTGCCTGGACACCTCCAGTCCCCAAACTGTCTTCCAGGAGTTTTCTTGGCCGACGCTGTCCGATGTGTGAGCCTTTCCTTCCCAAGGAAGAAGATGGATTGAGAGCTGCCAGTTGGGGACTTTTTGTCATCAGGGCGGTGCTGGGTTTGAGAGGAGGTGATGGGGCTGGCGCTGGCTCGTCTTCTCACTCCAGTGAAGAGTTGTTGATGTCCACTGGTTATGCTCAGACCATGCGCAGTTTGTTTTAATACAGAATTTTGGGGAGGATAGGGCTGTAGGCTTGTGAAGAAGGGCAGTCCGGATCCGGTGGAACTCCTTTGTCCTGCGGTAGGAGGGACACCCCAGTCTGTCCTCGATGCCGTCAGCCTTGGCCATCTTCACTTGCCGCCCGAACTCGCACCCGTTTCAGGAGCGTCATGTCTACCTGGACGAGCCCATTAAAATCGGCCGCTCCGTGGCCCGCTGTCGACCCGCGCAGAATAATGCTACCTTTGATTGCAAAGTGCTGTCAAGGAATCATGCTCTGGTCTGGTTTGATCACAAGACGGGCAAGGTAATGTCACAACATTGTTTAACAGTCATTATTTGTTTTGTTTCCCTTTGCTCTTTCTGTATAATGCATGCGGGATCCCAGGGTTTGCATCCAGAGGAGACTTTTCAGCAAGGCCACGGAATCAACTTTTTGTGTGTCTGGTTCTAGTGGAAATTTAATTGAGGTGGTTGAATGGAAAACAGAGAAGGTATTGTAATTAAATGCCTTGGGAGGGCGATGGCATCTTGATAATGTGGTCATTCCCAGTGAAATCCCAAACCCTAGTTTGGTTCGGAAAACTAGATAGTGAAACTTATCATTTTGTTTTCAGTCTTTTTAGAAAGGTGAATTTGCAGTTGAGAGCTTGATTAAGCAAGCAACAGTTCCCAAAGCAATGCAGGGAATCCGTGACCATTATTACAGTGGGGCTCAATTATCTCATTGGTGAAATGCACTTAATGTGGCTTTTAGTTGAGTTTAGATCAGGGCCTGTCTAGTAAAGACATTCATTGGTGTAAAGTTAGATTTTGAAAGATTTGCTATGTATACCCGTGAGAAATTTGCAGTTATCGAAGCCAGTTTAATTAGGCATGAACAACTAAATGCATTTTCAGAGTTTCTTTTGCAAGTTGCATGAACCTATTCCTATTGTTTTTGGAAGTCACTTTTTGATGTTGCCTGCAGCACTTATTAAAAATATTTTATGCATACTTACAGAAGCTATATTTAAAGGTCAGTGTTAGGAAATTATTTTTTGAAATTATATTCAATTCTATCAATTATTTCATTACCTAGATGCAATAGGACTAGTGCAAGTGTGAGCATTTTATCATTTTTATGTTAGCACCCTAATACTATACATGTGAGTACTATATTTTAAGAATTCGAGGAGAAAAATAAAGACCTTTTCAATTTTTAAACTGTTTATGTAAAGAATGTACTGAAGAGCTCGTCTTTGTGCTTAAACCTTAGATTTTAGTTCAGCTACAGAATCAGTTCCAACTTAGAGCAAGTTATGTAAGACTAATAATAATATCTCAGGTTTCACCTCTTGACTTTTGGTCCCTCTTTTTGACTAAAATGATTAAGTCTTTTTTTTTTTTTTAAAGAATTTAAATCTTCAGGAGTAGTGTTTTGAAATAAAAGAAATCCGAGTCTCAAAAGGAAGAAAGTAATACTCTGTTGCTACTGAATTAAGGAATTATATAAATCATTTTCCAGAGAAAGGAGGAAAAAATTGCCCAAGTGCTGTGTGCTTGCATAATACCTTTATCCTAATCTTTGTGTAGGATGAGAACTGAAAAGTTTATTAATTTTTCTGTGTGACATCAGGTACTTTACCTGTGGAACAGACATATTTTTCATCCCTGGAAACTAAACTTTGGGTGCCTGAAAGATTTCACAGATTATTTAAAGTGAATATTCACAGAACTCATCCTTCCATCAATCAGATTCAAACATCAGTTAATTGCTTGGGCCTTAACTCAATCAGCTTTTACATTTTTGCCTTTTTAAATTAGTTATAGCCCAATTTAAACAGATTACAGGTGTGCTTAAAATACATACTCTAAACATGCACATTCTTTACTTTGACCCAATATTCTAAGGAGACTCAGATTATTTTGTTTTACTTATTTGAAAACCAGTGATTGCATGAACAGTGCTTTTCCTGGCTAGGTTATTTTGAGATGACTAAGAATAGGTCAGTAGTGAGTGTTTATTGTGTAAATTGCGATGACATGTTAAAATTTTAAGTGGAATTTGTTATTAGAAAAGCTTATCCTTAAAGGATACACAACTAATTTCTGCCATTTTTCCTTTTTATTGCTGCTTTATTAGCCAACACTCAGAATATTACTTTAGGTGTAGATACAATTATTGGCTATTGTACCACCTAAACTAGTTAAATTATTTTAGGAATTAACTATTTAAATTTAAATTTGAACAGACTGGTTTTTATTGAGCATCTGTTATATACCAGATATTATGAGGTACACAGTTCTAAAGAAAATCCACAGTTTGACCAAATATCATTTATTGTTTTCTCTGTGAAATTTCTAGTTTGAGGATTTCTGTTGTAATTGTCTCATATCAAAAGTCCCCGGGCCATTCCCAGAAAACTTTTTTGTACAATACAAGAATCCCTCCTCAGGCAACCCCCCCCCCTCCTCCCCGCAAAAAAAAAAAAAAAAAATCTCTAAGCCTCAGTTTTCTCTTCTGGGGATAATAGTGGTACCTTTTGTTTTGAGGATTGGGATAATCTTGTAAATCACTTAGCACTCTTTTCCTGGGCATTATTAAAGGCTATGTACTTAGGGAGGAGGGTGTTTGGGGGTGGAGGGAGAGGAACGATCTAGGTAGCTCTTTGCATATGAAAGTTTCTTTCATGTAATGGCATATGTAGAGGTAATTTAAAAAAAATTATTGATTGATTTTAAAGAGAGAAACATCCACTTGTTGTTCCGTTTATTTATACATTCATTGATTGCTTCTTGTATGTGCCCTGACCTGCAACTTGGAGTATCAGGTAGATGCTCTAACCAACTGAGCTATTGGCCAGGCTGTAGAGGTTGAAATTGAAACATACAAAGTTGAGAACTCTGTCCAAACTGGCATTTTACCTGAGGGGTAAAGTTGGGGTAATGCCCTTTGGTTTATTTATTTTATTTTTGTTAATCCTCACCTGAGGGTACTTTTCCCATTGATTTTTAGAAAGAGTGGAAAGGAGGAACGGCAGGAAGGGAGGAGAGAGAGAGGAAAAAAACATCAATGTGAGAGACATCGATTGGTTGCCTCCCACACTCACCCTGACGGGTTGGGGATCCAACCTGCAACCCAGGTACGTGCCCTTGACTGGGAATCAAATCCATCGGCCCTCCTGGGCATGGGCCGATGCTGTAACCACTGAGAAACATAGGCCACGACTGTTTTCGGTTTATTTAAAAAAAAATGTATTTTTATTGATTTCAGAGAGGAAGGGAGAGGGAGGGAGAGATAGAAACATCAGTGATGAGAGAAAATTATTGATTGGCTGCCTCCTGCACGCCCCTTACTAGGAATAGAGCCCACAACCCAGGCATGTGCCCTTGGCTGGAATCAAACTTGGGACCTGTCAGTCTACAGACGGATGCTCTTTCCACAGAGCCAAACCAGCTAGGGCTTTTTGATTTATTTTTAATTGGGTTGTGTTCTGCATGGGCCATTATGAGAGGTCCCTTAAAATCTGGAAGAAATTCTGAACATTTGAAACTTTCTGATTATTCAAGTACTACCTGTTCATTATAGAAAATTTGCAAAATGTGGGCACATGAAAATGTAGGTCACACTTTTTAATGCTAAGTTCATGGAATGTGTTATGGTACTTAAAACCTGCATGTTGAAGAGTGACAAGTTTGCCACAAAGTAGACTTTAACAGGCTTTCTCACATCATATGCTTAGGGATGTAACAGTTGGATATTGCCCTTCTTGAATGCTGGCTCAATGTATCATTTTGGAGGTCAAGCTTTTCAGGTTAGATGGTAGATAATAGAATGATTAGTAATATGTCTGTTGACTCAAGGTATCACTGAAGAACGAATCTATCCATATGGTGGTTACATAGAAAGGAGAGTGAGTGGACTACCTCTTTTCTGATTTGGATGGCCTCATCGGATTTGAGGCTTTGTGGAAAGGAGAAGTCCAGTGGTCTAAACAGTATGCAGTCTATTTCCACTCTCTGTAGTAGTATTAGTTGTTTACTTCCAATTTCACTTTTTTACTTAAATTCAACAGTTACTATTGAGCATCTGTTCTAATATGATCTGTTTTGGCAATAACTGGTAAGAAATTGTTATTTCTTCTTTCTAGAAGCTTATATTTTAGAGAGGGTGACTATACACATTGAGAACAGTTGACTGAGATAAGATAGTATTATATAAATTAAAATGTTAAGAGCATGATAGTGTTTGAATTGACTTTAAAATAAGGGATGACTCGACCAGTGTGGCTCAGTGGTTGAGTATTAACATATGAACCAGGAAGTCATAGTTCAATTCCCAGTCAGGGCACATGCCAGATTGCAGGCTTGATCCCCCGTGTTGAGTGTGCATGAGGCAGCCGATCAATCATTCTCTCTCATCATTGATTTTCTGTCTCTCCCTCTCCCTTCCTCTCTGATATCAAAATTATATTTTTTAAAACAAGGGAAGGATAGATACAAGTTACGAAAAAGTGCTTTCTGGTTGTTTTTGTGTGTGTGTGTTGTTGTTTTTTTTTGGGTGGGGATGAGAGTGAAATAAAACAGACAAAAGCAGATCATTTTTAATGACTGACATCTTCCAAATACTGCAGAAATGAATTTTGTTGGATTGTAGAGTTCTTTTGGAGAGCAGCTATGGTGAACACCCATTCTTTGTGATGGTTTTATGTTTGTGCCTTGTTTTTGTAATTACGAGTTAGGGCTTGTAGGAGAGGGTTTCTGCCTTATATGTCTGTTCCCTTTTATTTTGTATAAAGTAGATGTTGGGTAACTGGAGCTGAGTAGATAGTGTGGTGCCAGGTTGTAGAGTGCCTTGATTACCAAACTAAGGACATGGACCCACAGGCTCGGGAAAGCCAGGGTGAGTTCTGTGCAGAGTAATGACATACCAAAAGTCCCATTTAAGAGTGATACAATAATATGTAGAGAGGTCTGGAGCAAGGAAAAATGAGTAACAGGTCAACTAACATTTGTGGTGTATGTACCATGCCTCTTCTAAGTGCTTTAAATGTTAACTTATTTAATTCTTAAATAGCTGCTCAAGATAGTTGTTTATTTTTCCCTATGAAGAAATTAAAGCACAGAAAGATTAGATTAGGTTTACTTGCCCAAGTTCACATAGCTATTTAATGGTAGAGCTAGGATTTGAACTGAGGTATTCTGACTCTTGATTCTAATGTCTAGAACCTAAGCTCTTAACTACTCTGCTATTCTGAGGCTTTGTAACAGTTTAGATATAATGTCATTTTGTAAGGATATAGACCAGAATCACAATAGGATTGA